TACAGTGATAAATAAAGAAAGGGAAACAAAGCTGTGAATAATGTAGAAAAGAAGGGAAAGAGGAAAGTGAAGAGCTCAAGCTTTTGAAAAATTCAGTGCTTAAAATAAGTATTAAAGGGAAGGAGAGGAAAATAAAGGATTGTGTAGTGCAGGGAGCAACAACTGAAAGTTTTAAAAAGGTGTTGGTAAAGTGTACAGATGCTGATAAAGAAAAACTTTTGAGGAAATGGGAATCTGTGCAGGAGGATTGGGCCTTCTTAAAGAATCTGATTGGAGAGGATATAAAATGTGTAAATATTAATCATGGATCCAGCTAGCCTTAAGATAATGTCCTGGAATGTTAATAGTCTATGAAATAGAGTGACAGATGTACATTACTTTACCCTTAAAAATAATATTGACATAATTACCCTTCAAGAGACTGGAGACAGGAAAGGCGACCTGCTTAAACTGTCTGGATATAAGGGATTTCATCGCTATTTGGGTGAAGGTATAAGAGGGGTCTCAACATACATTAAGAATTCCATACCAGCAGAACTGGTTGGAAGCCTGAGTAGAGTACAAGGAATAGAAAGTGTCTGTATAAAGGTATATTTGAAGGAAGGAGAATTGAACATAGCAAATTTGTATATTTCTGGAGGCTGTTTTGACCTCAACTTCTTACCAGATTGCATGTTTTTGGACTCAACTTTGGCTGCAGGAGATTTTAATGCTCGACATCCAAGACTCGAAACAAAGGGGAGAATTTATAGTAATGGTATAAAATTTTGGCAATTTTTACAAGATCACCCAAATGCTTACTTGTTAGGAAATAAGGGAGTGACTCATATTAAAGGAGGAAGGTTAGACTATGTTTGCATGATAAGCAGTCAGGGAATCCAGGGAGAATGTGAGATAATAAGGGAGCTAGTCAGTGACCATTTTGTTGTGTATGTTCTATTACCATTAGGTAAGAGACAGGTGAGACATAGGAGGAAGAGATTGAAACTAAACAAGGATGACACAGAAGTGTTTACCCAAAATATAGAGAAATGGTACAGAAATTATACACCAGTCTGTATGGATAGCTTTCATAATGACTTGGTTGGGGAGATAGAAAGATATTTAACTAAGTCAACACAGAAAAAGATAAATGATAAGAGACATGGGGCTAGGAAACACTGCTATACCATGACTAAATGTTGAAAGGTTAGACACAAATGTTAAGGGCAGCACATAAAGATTGGGTAAAGAATGGTAGAAGAGAAGAAGATAGGGAAATCTTCATGGATATAGCCCAAATATGTGGGCAGGCAAGGGAGAAATATTGGCAAGAGTTTGCACAGCACATTGGGGAGAGTAAAAATCTCAGAAATATGGCAGGATATTAACAAAATTAGAGGAAAAGGGAGTAATTTTATTAGTCATCCTCATCCAGAGGAAGAAGCTAATAAACTGGCTGACAAATGGGCTAAAGCAGCTAGTGTTGCCTCCCTGCCTAACAGGACAATAGAAGCATTAGATGAGTGGCAAAATGAAAGAAGAAGATTTATTTCATTAGCTCTAAATACAGTATTTGTGATGTACCATGTGTAGATATTACTTAAGATGAGTTATTAAATGCTGTTAAAAAAGGAAAATCTACAGCACCAGGCGAAGATGGTGTGACTTATGAAATTTTGAACTGCTTAGTTGGTATGGAAAATAGTCCATTATTAGATTTATTCAACTTGAGCTATACAGAGGGTAGATTACCAACAGAATGGAAGAAAGCGATAGTTATTCCTGTCCCTAAGGCAACTGGTGGATACAGGCCAGTACCTTTAACATCTTGTTTTTCCAAGATTATGGAGAGTATTACTATATAGGCTTGTATATATTGTGGGGGAAAATCTATCTTGTAATTTATTTGGTTTTTTGGAAGGGAAATGTACTTCAGACTGTGTTATAAAATGTTTATCAAATGATGCAGACAGATGTAGAGTTTTTGTGGATTTACAAGGAGCATTTGATAAAGCTCATAGTGAAGAAGTTATGAATGAACTGGCTGCTCTAGGGGTATCAGGAAAGTTGTTACACTGGATGGGTGACTACTTGCATGGAAGGAGAATCTGTGTATGGTATCAGGGATGTTTGTCTGAGGAAAGAGCACTTAAACTAGGCACTCCCCCCTTGTATTGAGTCCAATGTTATTTAATGTGTTAATGAACAAAATAGCCTCACACAAATATCCTAAAGGAGTTGTAACCATCATTTATGCAGATGACATCTTATTTCAAGGAAACTCTGACAAAAATTTGCAGATTGAATTAAATAATTTAAGTGTTCTTTCTCAAAAGATGGGCTTAGTTGCCTTCACACAGTGAGGTCGCATGTACCCAGTGATAACTGCCAGTGAGACCCAATAACAACCAGCGATATGTTAATCTCTACGACAGGAAGGCCTGGGACCACCCCTCACTCAAATAACACCATCCGAGGGAATTACTACACCATGTGAGGTCCCTTATAACACCATCTG